AATAAAGGAGAATATTTTTAGCTCAAGGTTGAAATGAGGGGTCCTTGCTGCTCTCTGAGCTTGGTTGTTTTCTTGCAGTTATTTCATTACCCAAACTAGGTAACATCATTAGTATTGATGATAATACCTCGTTTGGGTAATGAAACGTTTGCAAGAAAACAACCAAGCTCAGGGAGCAACAAGGACCCCTCATGAAGAAACATTTCCCAACCAAATCTTTTCAAGATCTTTTGCAATACTAACACAGCAGGGCATCAGGATGAAGAAGACAGCTCTTAGTTTGGCAGGTTTTGAAAAGTAAAGTAGATTTGGACCCAAATAGTACCTGGATGAGAAATAAGCAGGAAATTCTAGGCCTCCAGGCCAGAAACTATCCGGGGGAGGGGAAAAACATGAAATGCAATTAGGTCCTGATATTACCCCATAACATATTTATTTATATGACTTAAAATAGACTCTGGAGGATGGTAAAGGACAGGAAGGCTTGGAGGAACATTGTCTGTGGGGTCCCAATGGGTTGGACATGACTTTGCAACTAACAACAACAACATTTATATGGCCATCCATCCCAAAGCAGTGACTCTTATGCCCAACAAAGGGATGCAAATACATAATGGTAGTATTTATGTTCTAAGACTATTTATTATACAGGTGTCACTTTTTGTCATTATGACAATGCTGTGGGGTAGACTGGAAAATCCAAATAAATCCAAGAAGAAAGCATTGTCAAGTCATCTGCATATTATTGCCAAGATTGTTGTGTGGTTGTGTCTGTGATGTCATCGAGAATTGAGTTCAACTCAGGAGAGATCCGACTTTATCCTTCATAAAAATAGATGCTTTTTTCTAGATCTAAAGCTCTTTAGAAATGTTGCAGTACAATTTTAACGTCCCTTTAAATGGTTGCTATTTTATTCTGTCTGTATACTCATTGTCAAGTTCTGTTTGTTTGCAATTCAAGCCTTGAAATATCCCCAGTATTAGTCTTCAGAAAAATCACACCCTAAATGAGGTTCTGCTGAATTCTTACATAAATCAAATATATAGCATGTAGCTGCCCATCTGTTTGCTTGTTTATAATGCTGCAAGAATTTGGGGGCTCAGTCCTAATAGCATATGGAGTGGGAGGTGCAGTCTGTCCATCCACCCATTTGTTCTGTAGTTTCTCTCTGGAGCTGATTTTTTTTTTAAAAAAATAAACCATTGTTTCTCCATTGGCATCAATTGAACATGGGTTTTTAAATTTTATTTTAATAGAGGGATTGCAGTTGTAAAATAGGAAGGCTGAAATCTCTTTCTGTTTGTGCAAATCTCAAACAGAAGTGAGCCCCTGCATACTTCATAGTAACATAAACAAATGGAAGGGCAGCTGCACATGATGGATTTACTGTGTCATAATGTTTTATCCTGTACACACACACTCTCCAAAATCCGTTTGAAAATCACTCTACTACTTTCTTGTCTCACTGTAGTTCAAATGGCACTTGTCCCATTTGTGCTGGTTCAGCTTATTCCAAGGTTCCCGAGTGCCTAACAAATCTAAGCCTTTCTTTCCAACACCACTGTCACATCCATGCATTGAGACTTCTCTGCATGCAATTTTCTGACTGTATCTGGAAGATAAATCCACTTTGGGTATTGGAGGTGGGGGGATGGGAAATGGGTTGATGGGGAAAAAAGAAAGATTCATCCATATTTATCAAACTCCATCACAGATTTGGCAAATCTGCCTGATCACCCCAGCTATATTTTGCATTATTAAATATTCATACAAGCTAGTTGACAGTGTGGAATTTGTACATTTTTTGCTCCTGAATCATTTATGTACAATCAGTAGAGGCAGGGGCAGCGTTTTTCCTTAATATCTCTTCTCTCCCACTCACTATCACGGTAACCACGCAGTCTTTGGACTCCATCATTGTTATTAACTGAATTTGTAGAGCAGAACATTTAATAAGGAATGGCTTTGAAAAGTTTTCAAAACAGAACTGTTGAAAGGCTGAAGAACATTTTAGTAAAGGAGAATTTTCTGGTAAACTCTAAAACAAACCTTCCTTCCTTCCTTTCTTCCTTCCCTCCCTCCCTTCTTTTTCATGCAGCTAGTCCTCGACAATTGAGCGCAAAATTTGTTGCTCATTTGTTAAGTGAGTTTTGCCCCATTTTACGACTTTTCTTGCCACCATTACTAAGTAAATCACTGCAGTTGTTAAATTAGTAACACAGTTAATAAGTGAAGCTGGCTTCTCCATTGACAGAAGGTTACAAAAGGGGACCACATGACCCCCGGACTCTCCAGCCATCAAAAATAGGAGTCAGTTGCCAAGTGTCTCAATTTTGATCACATGACCATGCGGAAGCTGGTCACCACATTATAAAAAAGATGTTGAGACTCTAGAAAGAGTACAGAGAAGAGCAACCGGGATGTTTAGGGGATTGGAGACAAAGGCATATGAAGAACGGTTACAGGAACCGGGCATGGTTAGTCTAGTGAAGAGAAGGACCAGGGGAGACATGATAGTAGTCTTCCAATATTTGAGGGGCTGCCACAGGGAGGAAGGGGTCAAGCTATTTTCTAAAGCGCCTGTAGGCCAGACAAGGAATAATGGATAGAAACTGAACAAGGAGAGCTTTAACCTGGAAATAAGGAGAAACTTTCTGTCAGAACAATCAATCAGTGGAACAGCCTGCCCTCGGAAGTTGTAGGAGCATCATCACTTGAGACTTTCAAGAAGAGATTGGACTCCCATCTGTCAGAAATGGTGTAGGGTCTCCTGCTTGGGAAGGGGGTTGGACTATGATCTGCAAGGTCCCTTCCAACTCTGATTATCTGTTTATCTGATCATAAGTATGAAAAATAGTCTCATGTCAGTTTTTTCAGTGAAGCTGTAACTTTGAATGGTCACTAAATGAATTGTTGTAAGTCGAAGACTACCTGTACTTATTTTAAGAACTACCTGCTATAGGGATAGAACTATTATCATTCGCATTGTAGACCTCCCAGTTCATTTGTTCCCCTGTCCCAAAGAGAAGGTAGACAGAAAAGTGTTAAAGGATTATACTTCAAAGCTGTATAATCCATCACTTGACAGGGGAGTGCCTATTTGTGAGCCTTGGACAGAGAACCGCAAGCTATGTAGGTAAAGATGGAATAAGCGTATTCCCATTCTTCACCTTTTCTTTCTGAGTGTAAAGGGAAAACTCCAATTCTTTCATAAACAACTAACATTTTCTCAAATTAACAGATGGGAATCTGAATTCCTCTCCTTTTGTCCATTTTTGAAGTAGGGTTGACAGAGTGGCTACCAAACTTCGGCATCTATTGTGGGGCACTGTACCTATAATTATAAATGAGCCACGGTGGTGCACTGGTTAGGGTGCAGTACTGTAGGCTACTTCTGCTGACTACTGGCTGACTGCAATTTGGCAGTTCAAATCTCACCAGACTCAAGGTTGACTCAGCCTTCCATCCTTCTGAGGTGGGTAAAATGAGGACCCAGATTATTGGGGGCAATATGCTGACTCTGTAAACTGCTTAGAGAGGGCTGTAAAGCACTATAAAGCGGTATATAAGTCTAAGTGCTATTGCTATTACACCATTCCACTTCTGTTTTGCATCTATGCTATATCTCATGGCCAACTAACGCTTTTTTATTCCTGGAGAGAACCTATATTTTCACGCTTTTGCTGCTCTCCCAGGTGTGAAGGGACAGAATCAGGTTCCATTAGATACACTGAAATGGGGACAGGGTGTTTGGGACCTTGGGGGAGATGGGGGCTCAGTGAAAAGTAGGCATATTAAACTCAGAAGAAACTTAATGCACCAAGAGTTCAGCTTCATAATTCTATAAATCAGTGTTTCTCAAATTTGGCAACTTGAAGATGTGTGGACTTCAAGTCACCAAGGTTAAGAAATACTGGTATAAATAGCATACCTTTCATAAGCTGTCAGATCAAAGACATGGATGTTTTTTGTGTCATGCCCTCAGGTATGAATTTTTCCACCTTAAAAAGTGAGGAAATTTTCTCTGTTTTACACAGTGTATACATGGCATTTTTACTTATATATTCAAATTACAGTGCCTTATTTTCATTGCTATTTCTAACAGGGAGAGGGTCAGAATAAGAGCATTTCTAGATGACAGGGAGAGTGACCACATACGTATAACTAATATGTCCTATTTTTTTCACTGCTTATTACCACATAGAACATATTTTAAATGCACTAAGTAATCATACAGTGAAAGGACCTTCATTATTGCACCATTCATAACATTTGAGATTTACTGGCACATATAGGATATTTGGCTTGTTGTAAATCTTCCTATTAGACTTTCATTTTCATGTTAGGAAGCCTCACAATTCCCTTAAAAAAGTTGGAGATCCAAAAAAACATAAAGATGGGTCAGATAAGTCTTTGAAGAAAAGAGTTTGGTAAAACTTTGACCATGGATGAAAGTGGACAAGGAAGAAAACCCTAATAAAAATTTAAAGGCAGGGTAGGACCCAGCAACATTTAACTGTCTAGGTTCAATGTAATGCTGCACTTCTGAAATTCATAAGCAAAAGATGTTTTATGTTTTTGATGGAACTGTTGGACTTTGCAAGGCATCAGAGGAATAAGAATCAGCAAGGAATCCAACAGAAAGTCAGAAGTAGGTTTCTGCTGTAACACGTTTATTGCCAACATCGTTTTGGTACAGTCCATCTCTGTGTATCTTGCTGGTCCCGGGATAACAGAATCTTGGTTACCAAATAAACCTTTGAGCTAAAATTGAACACTCCTCTGGGTTGAAAGACTGATCTTTAAAAAAAAAACAATTTATGTGATGTGTTTGCTTAGCAGAAAATATCCATGTAGATCAGAGTATCTTTTTTTCAACTTAAAGTGCTGAAAACATTTTCAGGTTTGAAAATCATTCTTATTCTCAGTTTTGGTATCATTTCCTCAGTCCCAATTACGGTATATAACTATCCATTCTCTGTATGGTTTCTTCCCCCAGGTTTCTTGACATCAACAGAGCACTGTAAGAGCACCTTCTCCACTTCCTGTGTGCTGATGGGCAAAGTTCAGAGGTTACCTCATCATGAAAAATGGGACAATCCACTTTCTCAGCATGGATTCATCCAGACAAATCAGGGCCCATCACACCTGTATTTCCTCTTGTGCCGGCACATTGGATGCAGAGGCTACTGAAACAAGCATCTTTGTGTTGTACATACGAAAGTAACTTTCCTTCCCTCTCCCCAAAACCTATTTATAGTTTATGTTGCGTATTTTGACTTGAAATGCATTCTTCAGTAGATTTTATTTTCCCTCATGTCAACAGAAGATTTGCATCTTGGTACCCAGGAATCAGCAGACCTTTCAGATCTGGGGGAATTATGGCCACTTTGAGACATATGAGTGTAACAGACTGAGGTACTTGCTAAATGTCTGTGATGCTGTGCTATATTTTTTTAAAAAAACACACATTTTCTTAGACTTCTTCCTTTCCGTTGTTTCTCCTCCTCTGATCCCAAGAAGATGAGATGGTGCTACGATATACAATTGGATCTTCACTGCTATGGTTATAGAGGGAAGTATTCATTAAAAGGACTGGCCATATTTCTATAAGGCACTCCTCACAAAGGAGTAAAATGAAATAACCAGGTTAAAAAAAAACCCTGGTCAAAAATGTGTTGAATTGCAATGTCCCCCATTTGTGTCTTAGCATCTTAATTAAGTCCCCTTTCTCATGGCATCTGCCCCATCACCAGTTGAGAATAATTCTTACTCATCAGTAAGTGGGGCAAATTCAAAACAAGCATAATTTATTTAATTACGCTTCATTATGTATCACCATGGGTTCATTTTGGCCTGAAGTAGTATTCTGGGAGTTGAGCTTTTATATCCAACTTTCTGATTGTTATGTCCTGAGATCAAATTGATAATCCATCAGATGGATTGCCTTGGGAATTTCTGAGCCACTTGTTTTTCTAAGTCATAGACTGAAAAAAGGCACCTAAAGTAGATTTCTTCTTGATTATGGTACTTCATGGAACATTGATCCCTTAAAGACATGTTACTATATATAGGGATCAAGATCAAAATTGTACCCAAGTAGCAATTTCTCCCACTTATAAATTTAGTATCATTATGAACAAGAACTATAGATTACCATTTTCAGCATTGATATTGGTAAAGCCCAGTTGTGATTGACAGTTCTGAGAAAAACACACAGATCCAAGTAGGACTTTTTCCTTCAGGCTCAGCTCCATTCCTCAAACACTGGGTCCTAAAAATAATTAAAAGGCTCTGGAGAAGTACTAGATCATAGTGATCAATGACTTGAAAATTAGTTCTATACAAACAACTCCACATTGCTTGTGCATGTCCATCTGTAAATATGAAAAGACTTGGATTCATTTTCATGCCAATCTTGTTTTTCGTTACAGTGTAAATTGAATCTTTTGTTTCAAGAACTTTTTCCTCTGTAATAAATTTCCACAATTTGTGATGTCAAAAAAAAAATGTAAGGAAATAAAATTCTAACTTTATTAGTCAAAGTGGTCTCTAACCTTCCTGTTTTCATAGTTGCGCTGCTTCTTTTTGCAAAGATGCTGAGTGGCTATAACTAGTGTACTTGTTAGTAGGAGGTTTAAGGAGGTGCGAACATTCTGCAAATCTTCAAAAATTATCAAATCACAATATGCAATTCCTGGAGGAGCAATCTCATATGTATGGAAATATGCAAAGATTTGTTCTGAGACACAAACACACAAATATAATGGAAGACAACAAGATTCTAGGCTTATATCTCAAGGAATTACCTAAAGGGTTTTGGATATAATACACTAGCAACAAAATACAATTGTTTAGGATAATTCAGTGGACATCTTTGTGACGAATATGCAGACCTTTGAATGCTCCAATGTGGTATTTGTGGATTCCTGATCACCAGTATGAAGAAAGGGTTCAAATTTGCTCTGCTTCTAGACAGGCATCCTTCTCCAGGATGGGTCTATGCTGAAATGAACCCAACTTGATGGTGCAATGTTTGGGAAGGTCTCAAAGGTGTTTTCCTTCCCACCTCCAAAAAATGCAACTGGGCTGTTTTCCTTTTCCTCGAGGAAGAAGATTTCTCCTCCAAGAAACTTCTTCAATTGTTATTGGGGGGAGGGAGGGAATGGAAGGATAAATGTTGAGGGTTGAGACAGGAAGGACAGGTTCTGATCAGATGGTGGGGTTGGAGGGAGAGACGGAAGGGTTGTATTTCTTTGCAATCACCCTGTCACTAGCACTCTCTTGCCCTCAGGATCACCTGTGTCAAAGTGCAAATGGAAGTGGAAGTGGAATCTTCTTGGAATTGCTGCAAGGGCTGTGTTGTAGGCTGGATATAGGTGGTGTCTTATCCCACCTCCTCTGTTGAGGGAGGGCTGCTCAGAGTTAATATAAATGAACCCTCTTTCAAACCATTAATCCTCTCTATTTGAAATGTGTTTGGGAATGATGAAAGTGGCCTAATACTTGGATGGTATCCAATTGGCAAAAAACTCATCAAATTCCTATCTTGATAGTAAAATGGAAAAATTCCACCCACCCACCTCCAACAGCATACTAAAATAAAAAGAGAGGAAGGATTCCTGAATTTGAACAAGAAGAATGGAGCCAGTCAAGTTACCTTATTAAAAATACACCATTGATTTATTACAAGTGCTTCCAACCTACTGCCTCCATATGGATCTCACTGCAATTCACATCAGTCAATGAAGATTATGCCTCTTAATGTATTTCTAGACTAGCCTAAAGGTGTCCTATGTAAGTAGATGCAGAGCAAGATAATGACAAGTTTGGGAACCTGTATTGCTCCGTTGTAAATATTTTGACAAGGCATGTGTTCAGACAGAGCCATTAAGGCCCGGAAGTGCAGAGCGTTTTTAACTCCCTTAACATGAGTAGTTCTCAAGTTGATAGCAGGAACTATTCAGAGGCAGGAACATGAAAGTAGTTCAAAGCAGTCCAAAGATCTAAAATGAGTCAGTTCTACAAACGGGTCAACGAGTCAAAACAGAAAGTCTGAACGAGCAGGGCAATTGAGCAAAGGGGACAGGCTGCCACAAGAACATAGGTCCAAATCAGGAGAGTGTGGTAAGACCACACTTGGAATAATGCATTTGATTTTGGTTGCCACAATGTAAAAAAGATGTTGAGAGTCTAGAAAGAGTACGGAGAAGTAATAAGATTGGGACTGGGTTAGGGTCTTCTGTCCTCACTGAGAGTTGTGTTGGGAGGGATGCACAAAGGGAGGCTCAGCCAATCTCATTGTACACATGTTGTACTCTGACAATAAAAGTAATAATAATAATAATAATAGCAACAAAGACGATTAGGGGACTGGTGGCTAAAACCTATAAAGAACGGTTGTTGGAATTGGATATGTCTAGTTTAATGAAAAGAAGGACTAGAAGTGAGTGACATGATAGCAAGTGTTCCAATATTTAAGGGGTTGCCACAAAAAAGAGGGAGTTAATCTATTCTCCAAGGCACCAAAAGGCAGGACAAGAAGTAATGGATGGAACCTAACCAAGGAGAGAAGCAACCTAAAACTAAAGATAAATTTCCTGACAGAACAATTAGTAGAACTATTTACCTCCAGAAGATATGAATGCTCCAACACTGGAGGTTTTTAAGAAGAGATTGGACAGCCATTTGTCTGAAATGGTATAGGGTTTCCTGCCTGGGCAGGGGATTGGAGTAGAAGACTTCCAAGGTCCCTTCTAACTCAGTTATTCTGTTATTCAGTTGGTTAGAATGGATGGGCAGGAGGCTTAGAAGCTGCTTGTGTGCAGCCCCAGTTATGGGCATAGCTTCAGTCAAAGGATTTTCTTCTCAAGGAGAAAAGCTGACTGCTTCTGCTCTGCCCTCCATAGCTATTGGCTTGTTCTTGGGTGAGGCACCCTTCCAGAATCTGACCCCTCTGAGTCACCCCACCCGCCCACTCAGTCTCACTGTTCGAACTGCCTCAGGTGTCTGTGCGCCTGCCAGCACCTCAGGCTTGCAGTCCGTCTGGCCTGTCTCTCAGCCTCTGACTCAGAAGAGACCATCATAAAAAGGACAACACCATCCAAGGCAGCTCTCATAAAAGGCATAAAACATTGATAAACCCAAACACTGCGAAGTTAAAACGCTTCTCCCAAATGCTAAAATCTCAATGACAAACGAAACCCCAGACAGACCATTTCAGATGCATTTGGGGGGAAAGCTTGACAGAGGAGCTGAACATTTTGTGCTTTCTTAAAAAAAAAGTTGGCAGTTAAACTTAAGAATGGGCTCACAATGGAGAAAATGTTATCTGTAACAAATCGAATCGTATTCAACTGAGAACAAAAGAAACGGGCTCCCATTCCCAAAGGGAGCTGCTTTTTGAGTCCTCACTGCCTGGACTTTGGGAAAAGACTAAAAACAGAGCTATTTCAGAGGATATTCTTGTAATTTAAGCATGGTGCCTGCGTTTTACCCCTTCTCTGTTTTTCAATTGTTTGTGTGTGTTTCCATACAGAGAGTTATTGCACAATTCTTTATTATTTTTAACCATACTGTGGATAATTTAATATTGTTTATTAAATTTTTATACTGCTCAACTATCAGCAGCTCTGGGTGTTTATAGTTACTATATCAGTCAATGACAACTGTTGATTGGAACAGGATATAAGTTAAATAAATGAATAAATAGCACCTAGTCAGAGTAGACAAAATCTAGACAATTTATCGTTTTGACCAGCATTCATTGCTATGTGCAACAGGTGAAATACTGACAGATTCTGGTATTTATCCAGACTGAGTTAGTGTCAGGTAACTCTCTGTAAGGTTCTATGATGTGAAGAAAGGCACTGATTGAACCCAACAGTGTTTTTTCACCTTGGTCACATTAAGATGTATGGATTTCAAGTCCCAGAGTATCCTGGCTGGGGAATTCTGAGAACTGAAGCCCATTTTAACATGAGTAAAGTTGAGAAACACTGTAGAAGAGGGTGTGATGAAGCAGTTTAGTGCTCACCCTGTTGAGGCATACCAAATGTCACTGTTTGTGACATTTGCCTTCACTTCTGCCCCAGTTGTGAACATTACAAGCAACTTGTTGTTTTCTATGAGAAAAACATATGTCAATCAAATAACACTTTTAATAGGATTCAGCACATGCACATTTAAGTTGTGACAAAGGTATTACTCTATAGTTTCTTCTGTAGTATTTACTTCTGACATCTGAAAGCATCATGAATGCTAGCAGCATAATATCACAATAGAGAGAGAGATTTCCCAACTGCTATTGAAGCAAAGGTGAGACCTCAAACTACTTGTTTTTGTGCAAGGTTTCTAGAAAAAAAAATATTTATAGAAGTATCCAGCAATCTGCTCACTACTGACCACAAAATAAGGCAGGCCTTCTATGTCTTTTTTCTAATGCCCTGGACTTATACTTGCACAGTCTCAACATGGTGTGGTAAAATCAGTGGTGAGGACTTCCTCAAATTACAGTAAATTACAAGGTATGGAGAATAATGACTTGCAATAATACCAGCAAGCTTCAATATTTCAGAATGGAAAAGCAAGGGTAAAAGCAACCTGCTTTTGTTACTGAAACAAAAAATTGTAACACAATA